CTCACTCCTTCCGATCTGTGGGCATCTGTGCTCACCAAGCGTTCAGCATTGATCATCACGCCTTACCGCAACGATCTTCAGGAGGGAAAGAAACACACAGAAACCATTCATCGTCGTCTCCCAGGAAAGTATGGGAACATATGGGACGTGGGGAGGAGGACGAAATCCAGAAAATATGTTAAAATATAGAAAATCCTGGGATGTGTGTGTATTCAGTTGTGTGTCCTTGGGCCCCCCGAGATCTTCTGGCTGATCTGGAGAATCACGGCACGCGGGCTTTTGGGCCGGGGGTGATCGGCAGTTCTTTGTATGGTTCGCATTGGAGTGTTGCTTTTGCTTGTTTGCAGCATGCTGGCTGCCAACCATGCGCTTGCTGCTGCCACCACTCATCCGCAGAATACCCTAGGCGTTACCTGTGTGCTCGCCCTTCCTCTACCGCTTTCCAGGAGGAGACGGGGAAGACGGGTGGGGGTGGCTTTCGGGGAAGACGGTGATTGTTTTGGTGGTTCCCTCGCGAGGCTTTCCAGAGAGCTTACGTTGTCTACTGGAGGCCTCGTGGTATTATACGGTTGTGTTTCCACAAGCGGTAGTTAAGCCTAGGATTCCGCGAGCTAAGTAGGGACAGGAGGAGGCGGAGGAATTGCAACAGCACGGGCTGGAGGACGAGACGGATGGCCAGGTGGTTCAATCATAGTTTTCCGATTGCTAGTCCCTTGCGCATTATTGTTATTGTTAATCATTTCGCAGATACGCACCCAATTGCGCAGGCAACCAGACCATCCCCGATTCTTCGTGTCGACCTTGGAAGCAATGTCAGGGCAATTCGTCGTGTTTCCCAGAGGCATGATTGAGCCATGAATCGATATCGCTGCCAGCAGGCATCTATTCGAACAGCACGTGCAAGTCAAACTTCCGACTACCAGTCGGATCCCGATATCTAGCCCCCTTGTCTCACGATCTTCCCCGAATTACCGGCGGTGAGGGGAGGAGGAGGAGGAGGAGGAGGAGGAGGAGGAGGAGGAGGAGGAGTAGGAGTATTGGCATGGGCGAGGAGGAGGGAGGACGGGGAGGATCTTGCTTAAACGCGGAAGTACCAGCCAGATTAGCAAGGGGATTACAGGAAGTCGACCTCTGCATTGGTTGTTTGAGCTTGGGCTGTATTCTCTTCCGCGTGTGTGACGAAATTTCTGTGCTCTGCTGTGTTGTCTCTTTTGCTCTTGTTGAGGCTTCCACCGCCTCCAACAGGGCATTCGGCCGACACGCACTCTGTACTTTGAATCCAGCGGTTCAGACATTGGCGTGACAACCTTCGCATACGTCGGCGTATGTGTACGTGCGTACATGTACAGAACACACATCGATGTGTGTGGGCGTGTATTAGCCAGCGTCGCCTCCAACACAGTGAGTTATTGCATTGTGGGGGGTCGAACATATGTGGTGAAGGCTATGCCGTGTAAGCTGGATGGTGTGAGCTATGGAGATGTGAGCTCTGCGGTGTCGGTGAAATGGCGTAAGCTATGTCGTGTAAGATTTGCGACGTGAGCTAGAGGTGAACTCCTATGCGGTACCAGCTAGGCTGCATAAGCCAGGTCGTGTACGTGTTGCGGCGTAAGCTATGCGGGGCAACACGCACAGTGAAAGCGTTGTGATGCAAGCCATGTGATGCAATCTCTGGGGGGGTAAGATTTCGGTTCGAATCGGCGTTGGGGTGTAAGCTTTGTGGCGTCGGCTATGTGGTGCAGGCTCGGCGCACGGGGCGCCCACCAGCGCCAACGAGGGCGGCACGGGCGGCAGCGTGGTGATCCTTGGGCAACCCGCCGAGCGCACGGGGCGCCCACGATGCCGCACGGGCGGCCACGTGCTGAACCTTCGAGGAACCCACCCGGCGCACACGGCGCCCACGAGGCAGCACGGACATCAGCGTGGCGAACATGTCGGGAACCCACCCAGCGCGAGGGGCGCCCACGAGCCCACGAGTAGCCCACGAGGCGGCACGGGCGGCAACGTGACAACAAAATCTTATTCACTTCAGTTTCCCCAAGCATCACACTTGAGAAGCCTTGAGTGCAAGCGTTGCCTGGGGAACCAAGATTGACACAGAGAGAGGAGAGGAGAGAGAGAGAAAGAGAGAGAGAGGAAGAGAGAGAGAGAGAGATACAGAGCGATGGAGTGGGAGAGAGAGAGAACGAGAGAGAGAGAGAGAGCGAGCGATAGGCAGAGAGGGATGGAAAGAGAGAGAGGTAGAGGGACAGAGATAGAGAGAGAGCGAGGGAGAGGGACGTGCCTGGCCGATGGGCCAACGATCGGCAGACAAGCGGTGGTTGTTGCCGAGAGAGGCGTGTGATGGTGCATCGAAACCCACACTCGCATCATACGCTTCCTGGATTTCCTACGCATGAGAAGGAGATCGGTTTCGGAGGTCGGGGTCGGGGCGCACGTGGCATGTCGGAACGGATTGGTCGGGCCATGCATGTGGTGCCCAGGCTGTCCGTTTGGATCGACGTTATGGTGTGGTTAGGTATTGGTGTGTTTGCATGTGTGCAGTCTCCTTCATTCTTGAGATCGTGCATCCAAGCGGCAGTGGCACTATGTACTTGCCTTCAGGGCCTACAAAGTAGCCAGCACGCTCTTCGAGAGCGCCTTGGCGAACCCAGTGGGCACTGTTATGATCATTGGGACCTTCAAGACGGCTGCGAAAGAGTACGAGGAGAGATTAACAGCATTGGGACTATGGGTGTCAACTGAAGAGGCCGCTACTGATGATTGTTCTGTCATCCACTGTCCCCGAACGCACTCAGGCAATGTGTGATCCACGTGCTCCGCGGTGTGTCGTATGGTTGACATTGGTGTTTGATTGCGCACGCTGGTCCTGAGACCAAGCATGAGGCATGAGTAACTGAATGGCTGCATGTCTAGTAGCAGTGCCAGAGCTTTCTCCTGGCAGTGCCTCATGGAACTGTGAGATTGCCTCAGCAGCTGGCAGTTCAATTACGCACACATGCGTGGCCCGGGCACAGCTATATGATCAGAGTGGCATAACCACTTGCAGCCATACATGCGTACCCGGATATACGTGTATATCTATATATACATATATATGTGTGTATGTACGGAGAATCACCCTTGTGTCGCGCCATTCTGGCAGCGCTTGCCACAGTGCAAACTGCAAGCTAGACGATCGCGGTCCAGGGTATGGTGGGCACGCGTCTGATGCCCTGCAAAAGCAGGGTGAGCGTGTGGCTGTGCAGCGTTTGATCACGGTGATGATCCCTGTGTGGACGCATCTTCTTGCCATTGGCGCAGCAGTCAGGGATTTCATTTGTATTGTTACAGCTGCCTCGACGGGCAACTGATCGCGGAGGATCAGCCGTGCATTAGAGCCGTGTTCTTCGCATACGCATTGAAACACGATAGGTCGAATGCACACGTTTGCTATTTCGCGCCGTCCGATGGGGTGGTTTAGAGGCAATTTCGCCAGGGGTGGTTAGGTGTGTTGGTCGAGGTCGGGCGAAGTTGCGATAACCAGGTATCTAGCTGCGGCAAGCTCCGCCACCGTGCCAGATCAGCGTTGTGTGGCGACGCTTCGAGCACCGCCCAGAAGGCCGCAACATTCGCACTTATCGTGTCTATTATTTGTGAGCTCGGGCCGTCCTGGAGCCTGGAAGATGCGCAGAAACCCTACCAGGTAGGACTTGGCATCCCACCGTGCTTCAACGTGCCAGGTGGCATGGTATCGGATCTTGGGTGAGGCGACGCCGACCTACGAATGAGCGAAGGGTTGCTGAAAGGAGGAGGAGGAGGAGGAAGAAGTTCACGTTTCGAGACCTCCAGGAAGCGGGGGAGAGGGGGAGATGTGGCATGAGTGGGGGGTGGTGTTTGTCTGAGGACTTGTAATTCGGGTTCTCGTTCAGCACCCGTGGCATCTTTGATGGCAGGAGACGAGTGTCACCAAGCAGGCATAAGGCAAGGTGAGTCATTCCAAACTGTTTCAGGACGCTCTCAGAGCCGCGCCGACCGGTACATCCTCCGGACCCGCGGGGCTCTCAGACATTTTGGATGTATTTGAATAAGATGTTGTTTTCTTTCGATTCTCGTTTTATGGCACGTCCGTGGTTTTCGGATTTGTTGGTTGTGGTTGCGGGGGGTGCCAGTAGAAGCATCATATTGTCGCGCCCACGAATTCGGTCGCTTTCTATCTTGTTCATCCATCTTCTTAGCCCTCCCCTTGCCCTTTACCATCGGGATTACCTTGATTTTTTCGGGGGCACATGCCGCCGAGGTCTTGGGTAGTTATCTGGCCTGGGCCCTTTCGAAGTTGTTCCAGCATGGACGGGCCTTCGTGCCCTCTCCTTTCCCTCCCCCTCAGCGAGGGCCACTCCTCCTCCTCCTTCGCCTCCTACTACTACTACTACTACTACTACTACTACTACTACTACTACTACTACTCCTACGACGACGACGACGACGACGACGACGACGACGACTACTACTACTACTACTACTTTTCCTATTACCCTTACTACTACTACTACTACTACTACTACTACTACTACTACTACTCCTACGACTATGACGACGACGACGACGACGACGACGACGACTACTACTACTACTACTTTTCCTATTACCCTTACTACTACTACTACTACTACTACTACTACTACTACTACTCCTACTACTACTACTACTACTTTTCCTATTACCCTTACTACTACTACTACTACTACTACTACTACTACTACTACTACTCCTACGACTATGACGACGACGACGACGACGACGACGACGACTACTACTACTACTACTTTTCCTATTACCCTTACTACTACTACTACTACTACTACTACTACTACTACTACTCCTACTCTTACGACTACGACTACGACTACGACTACGACGACGACGACGACGACGACGACGACGACGACGACGACTACTACTACTACTACCACTACTACTACTACTTTTCCTATTACTCTTACTACTACGACTACTACTAC